AGGTGTCCAAACAGTGATATTGCTACACTGTTGACGTGGAGCAACACTCGAAATCCTGTATGTGTATATGTAACAACTTAGTCATTTCCCTGGATCACACAGGTGCAAAGGAATATGTATGTTGTTCTCAATCTATTGATAATGTATGATGATAAATTATTTTTAATAAAAGTGAGGAAATGTGTCCTCGATGGTTCGTCTTTTGCCCTCGTGACCCATGTACAAGTTGTTACAATTAACTTTCTGAAAGGTATTGGCATTCATATTAAGACTGCGTATTCAAGTCTAAATGTATCCATCCGTATTGAATAACTCGCTTTAAAAAGTCATCCTAATTTTATATTAAGGATGCACACCAAATTTGTCTTGCAGGATTTCCAATCACAGAAAGTATTATATGCACGTGGTCAGTATACAGTATTTGTGATAAGAATATCACTTGGTTATTTTGTTTTTGGCTCTTGTTAACAGTCATACAATCTGTAATATAATAGAGCCCGAAAGTAGGTCACGACACTTCGCGAGACCTTAGTACTTCCGGTGACAAACAACGTTTCATAATTTTTTCGAATGGTCTCATGGTTGTCAGTTGACAGTAAGGAACCGATAATCCTTGCGGTAATAACAAATTTCCGATCAAACCATCCCTAAATTAGTCAACTATTACGACTGTCAACAGCTGTGACAGTCAAGCATTGTTGTACACTTAGTCCGGTCAAGTAAAGTCATATTTGGCGATCAAGCAATTCGGAACCAGAACTGGTTCTTGAATACACGCTTGTCTGGTACCGGAAGTAAACCGGGCCCAGTCTCGCATATCGCAAATTGGCGCTCGCAAAGGGAGCCGGGAACCAGGTTAGTACCGGAAGTAGCCCCTCGCGAGACTTACAGGCCCAATGCTAAGCGGATACAAATAACACTTGTTTCTGTTCCTTGCAATTACCAAGCTGGGTTTTTGTCAAACAAAGACAACAATGATTTTGTTGATATCAGTATTGTGCGAGGCATTACGAATCCGTACCAGCATCACAGAAGTCTGTGAACAGTATCGAACTCCACGTCGAAGATGCGTGCTTCACTATAAAAACCTGTCAAATATGTTACTCATCATTAAGTTCTTTACCTTGAAACTATGTGTACACGAACACAACATGATCATACCTGATTTTTTATTGACGTAATGATGAATTATTAATTCAGTATATAGTGATCAGTTGCTTCTTAAGTGACAAACCTAGTTATTATTCTGATGACACAACTATGGTATCATGCTTATCGTCTAACGGGATTGATATTGATTCAGGACATAATTATCTTAACCAACCCCTTCCAAACCAGTTTAAATTGCTTGTATGGACATTGCTATTATACTTGTAAAACGTATATACAATCTTCGGTGATATCAACTATCATGAAGGAACCTTGTTGTGTTGGCTGGTTTGGTTGGGGTGTTATTATTAATAATCACGTCGATTTTCTTTCTGCAAAAGGGGATGATTATAATGTTAGGGAAGGGTGCCATATCTATATTATTGCCGTGTTTGTTTTACAGTTGTACCAACTGGGAAGTGTCATAATTGAAATGATGAGAATCTGGTGCACTTATTTGCAGATTTCTGAAAGCACTACACAAATTCTTGCTGAGCAGTTGTTTGACCAGGGTTTTTGCGTGCATCTTGCTGGGAAATAATCCAAAAAGTTTAGTTTTGAAATGAGAAGGATGCATCATTGACACAAATGATATCTGATACACGTCTTTATTTTGGCCTTTGTGGGCACATGTTCACTGAGGTGAACAACTGACGTGCCTTTGCGTGTGTTTTTGACAGATGCCACTAATACGACATGATACGCTCACCTTTTGACGAACCCGTGAAGATCCGGGTTAGTATTGATCTTCAGTAACCCATGCTTGTCGTAATGTCGTAAGAGGCGACTAACGGGATCGGGTTGTCAGGCACGCTGACTTGGTTGACACGTGTCATCGCATCCCAATTGCGTAGATCATTGCTGTTGATCACTGGATTATCTGGTCCAGTTTCGGTTATTTACAGACGGCCGCCATTATATATATATATACATACATACGTACGTACGTACATACATACATACATACATACATACATACATACATACATACATACATACATACATACATACATACATACATACATACATACATACATACATACATACATACATACATACATACGTACTTACGTACGTACATACGTACATATTACAGTCTGATCAGTTCCATGATTGTGAGAATAGTTTTGTCTCTCTCATTTGTATGACGTTATGCCAGCAGAAACATGACAGTATGAATATAATTTATTTATTTTTAAGAAGGTAGTCACATACATACAGTGGAAACCTGATAAGTAAAATTTCAAGGGACTCGCCAAAATTGTTTACTTATCAGGTATTTTACTTATCCAAACTTATAAAAACCTGCAAATGACAACCATATGCATGTATATGTATGCATATGTAACAATGAACAACTTATCAGGGCTGGCCTCCAGTTGTCAGTGTATTGTCAACTGCTTGACGCCAGCGAGCTGTAATTAGGATAGATGTTTGTTTGACTGGAGACTGACACGACTTCCCGTCATGTCGGATTATGTGGTGATCGCTAATTTAGTTGTCCAGTATCTTTTGATAAGTAATTTACTTCCAGGGACCGCGAGAGACGTTTAGTTAAGCGGTATTATTAACTTATCCGAGTTTAGTTAACCAGACTCTAATAGTGTGATTAATGAAGACCAAAGAAAAGTGTTTACTTATCAGGTCTGTTTAGTTAAGCGGTCTTTACTTAGGCGGGTTTCCACTGTATATGTAATCTCAAATTCATATTGAGGTTGTCATGTGTCGTTCTTGTATCCATTATTTTCAAAATGTAATGGAGATATATAGAGAATATGAATGTTCATATGACTTATTGTATCGGATATTCATCCTTGACATGGTGTATTCACAAACACAAAAAAGACTGGCGAAGTGAGCGAATGTTCATATGGATGTTCGCATTCGTTTGTTGTCAACATTACTCACATCGTCGCCGCTGAAGTATGTAGTCACTAGTGGTGTTCCTATTAATTGAAATAATCGAAGATTGGTCGCAGTGACCAAACGACCAAGCAATCGATCACATTTTCTCATAATCGAACATAAACGATTTTTGAACTACTGTTTTAGTCTTTGAAATATTTGACAATGGAACATATCGTAGCAGTTGTCAGGGCCTGAAAACGTGTTTAATTCTTCGAAAACTCACTTCACTAACTGAAAAGCAATGACTGAATATATTTTTTGAAGACTCCGGGAAGTTTATGTTCATGGTAAATTAGTCATCACTTTAAAGTAGCAAGTTGCATCATGTTATACATATCTGCACTAACAACCTGGATAGGAAAATATGATACTAACCAATTGTTTTCGATGATTGTTCGTTGGTAATGAAGCAATCATCAATTGTGATATTTCAACCAATTCCCAACACTAGTAGTCACTCCTTAAACCAGTATGTCTTCACCCATTATGCTTGCTTAAGTTGGTATTTTCAATTACAACTTGCCATCTAGTCTGTCTTACCGACCCTGAAACACATATATAATAGGAAGCCCATGCAAGTCTAGAATATGTGGCCAGTCTAGATTTCAACAGTTTCCATTCTATTTTATGATTGTTGTTTTATGAAGTTTGTTTTCTGTAAAATATGTTCATTTCAGAGACTATATGTTAGTCTACTTGCCATCGTGAATGACTTAATGCGAACTAATAGACATTTTCCTTATTAACTGATTATTCTGTTGCTGGACCATGTTGTGCCATACAAACATTGTGCATGCATAGTTCCAGAAGAAGGTTACTTGGAACACTTTCATATGTTCAGAATCTGTATATATGTTGCATTGTCAAGCTCGCTTCTATCACACACATGTTCTAAAGGATACGTATGCTCACCATGACTTCATCAGCTTCAAGTAGATCACCTTGATCTTAAAGGCAGAATGTCACGTGTTTTCGACAATATTTTGGTCTATAATATATATTGGGGCATATGCACTCACTTTAGCTTCCTATTGATACAATATTAAGACTTATTATCCCTTACGACTTGCCTGAAATCGTTAATTGAAACTTCGAGGCGAACAGCTTCCAAACAGATAACACTTGCCATATATGGAATGTAAGCGATTGCTCGATAAATCGCAAACTGTCGCACGCGGTGCTGTCGGTGTTTGCCGAACTGGCCTCAATCACAAGTTGCGTAATAGATATTCGTAAAGAGCGTTAAGGGACATAACTCTATGGGGTTCGCTTAAAATAAAGCTCGGTCGGTAGAGGGCGTGAGAGTCGATTGAATGCAACGTTGCATTAATTCATTCGAACTTTTTTAATTTCATATTGTAATCTTAATACGTATTTTCTCGGAATAAATTATATGGTAGTTTTGCTGGGGGTTGATAGTTAGTATTAATGAGAGAAATGCAATATTAATTTTTAGGGAAGTGTAGTGTGATAGTGTGCCTTTAAACCTGACGTGAACAGATATTAAACTTGGAGTACAGATTCATATGGCTACATATATTTTAACATGACTGGTTGCAATAATTGATGGAGAGTTGAGCATATACAACAGTATTTCAGTAATTGTAACATTAATGTACTTTTATTAAGTATATTATTTCCAAGACGGCATTTATTAACTGTCACAAACCAGTTCATCTTTAAAGAAATGGAAGAAGAGCTATATACTGTTTCGTGTAAGTATTTCATGCTTTGAACATTCACGCATTAATATTGACAAACCTGAGCAATGGAATATGAGCAATATTTTAAGTAAAATAAAAGGGTAAAATGACAATGCAGCATATTACATTCTCACTTGATCCATTAATCATCACTAAATATCATATCCCTATCGATAACATATACGGAAGTTAGAACTTCGTCGAGGTACACTCGCTTCATATTTTACACTCACATTTCAGATGGAGCAAGGGGAGGATACTCTGAAAACGCATGCTACTTTTGCACCGACACCGGAAGTAACCCTGACTGTCGGGATTACGACCTCCTGTTCAACGCGAATTTGAAAAACAACGACACAGAACAGATACTATTGAGGAATTGTTCATCAGACCAGCCTTACTGTATGATCGAACTCTACGTAAAATTAGGTAGGTCATCGCCAGAGGTTTCCTGTTTTGTCCATTGAAAACAAAGGGTATTTTAGTCAAGAAACACTTTCACGTTGGAATCGATATCAATGTACGTTTTATGGGTGCCGTGTGTCTTTCGTATGGTGACCGCCTCCGTGGTGTAGTGGTAAGAGCGTCCGCCCGGAGAGCGGAAGGTCGCGAGTTCGATCCCCGACCCCGCTTGCACCCTGCCTAGCGCTCGGCATTTGGACTGGTCGGCTCGAGTCAGTATAATCTAACATGATGGTATTTGGGCTAGCACTATTTCAGTCTGGGCTTTTATCAGTGAATATGAAAATATTCTCAAGCAACCTCAATTTCACCTCTTTCGTAAACAGAATGGTTTTGGGTTTAATCAGTGAAAGAAATAACCATCTAACTTTTCACAGAAAATCTAACGTTTTTGCAATATGTCGCACTGTCGTTTTTCAATATGTCGCAAAATATACATCACTTCGGATCAAAGGCTTGCAAACGCTCGTACAGTAGACAACTGCTTCAAATTCTTAAAACCGTACAATTATGTTCAGCTACAAACGCAGTAGTTTTTATATCCAAAACATTCAAGTGTTGAAAAAAATAAAACATTCACATTCATATGAAACACGCGTAGACATCTTTCTACGTATTACTGTTCATTTTAATGACACTTTGACGTTGGTATAGCAAATGAATCAGATTGTATCAGAAAGCTGTATAACAACCATCTAGAAGACGACTTTAGAAGTTAGCATTTCTAGCGCAAATGTAGCCAAGCTATCCACATAATTACAACAAAACAGTTCCACCAATTTCGAAATACAGAAGTACTGTGTGAGTGAGTATGGTTTTACGCCGCTTTTAGCAATATTCCATTAATATGCTTCACACATTGAACCCATGTGTCGAACCCGGGTCTTCGGCGTGACGAGTGGACGCTTTAACCACTAGGCTACCCGACAGCCCAACAATAGACTGAAGACATGACCGGATCACCTTTTAGAATCAGAAGTCTGCCCTACCAGTGGTAACACTGTCTGTCTCAAAGAGGTTGACCTCTTGGATTTTGTATTTGGCCTCCACTTTTCCGTTTTGTGGCGAGGTAGCCTAGTGGTTAAAGCGCTCGCTCGTCAAACCGAAGACAGGGGTTCGATTCCTTACATGGGTACAATATGTGAAGCCCATTTCTTGTGTCCCCCACAATGACATTGCTGGAATATTGCTAAAAGCGGTGTAAAACCAAACGCACTCACTCACTTTTGTATTTCTGAGACATAGATCACAAACACTACTCTAACGCCGTGACGATTCTATTGCAGGTCAGGTGTACAGCTACATCCGGGACTGCACATCCAATCGTTCCGATTCCTTCTCCTTTGCCATGGAAGGAAGACTGAAACACGTGTCCCCCAACAACGTTACAACATGTACGTTTGATAAGCACACCATGGGTCAGATGTGCTTGACCTTGTGCAAAGGACAATTCTGCAACGGACCGCAGGTGTCCGAATGTCCGATTCTGACACCTGGTTTGGTGACCGTGCTGGCATCAACCTTGATTCTTGTACTTAGAACACCTGGTGCTAAGTTCTTCACATAAATGGGCAAGACAGTTTCACCGATTGCATTGCTTTTAGATCAATTTTGCCTGGCGAAAAATAACACTTTTGTAAATATCGTCTCTCTCAGCCAAATAGAGTTTGAATATCACTGACCATAATGATTTCTGGTGGGATTCCTTATTTTGACTTGTACCATATATGGGCATGAGGCCTTTTTTGCGAACGCTTGGTGTCGTCACCATTTCATAGTGATTCATAGACACACGAATCTGATCTAGTTTTTGTAACGTTCTTTTCATGACAAATGTTTTGTCCGTTTTCATTGCACAATGTATGTTTAATGCCCATAGTATCATTGTATAAAATTATTTCGAAAGTATATGCATTAATATTGAATATTCATAATGCATATGTACAATGCAGATGCTGTGGTCATGACTTTATTGCATTACTTTTGAAAACCCTCTTTTTCAGCCAATCATAGTGTATTAATTTTGCGAAATCAGCATATAATTAGATGTCCTCACTTGAATAATTGCTGATAATGCGACATCCGTGCGTATGTACACTACATGATCGAGGACCCGTGAAGATCCGGGTTAGAATTGATCTTCAGTAGCCCGTGCTTGTCGTAAGAGGCGACCAACGGGATCGGGTGGTCAGGCTCGCTGACACATGTCATCGTATCCCAATTGCGTAGATCGATGTTCATGCTGTTAATCACTGGATTGTCAGGTCCAGACTAGATTATTTACAGACCGCCGCCATATAGCTGGAATATTGTTGAGTGCGGCGTAAAACTCACTCACACGATCGAGGATGTCGAGACATCATGCGTCAGTTCAACAACCATACTCATTCCAGATGAAGACTGACTCTAAGACGACCAGTTCTTGCTTCTCCCCCTTCATTCTGATAGCCAGACATGGCGAAATGAATGTTATCACACGACCAGGGAATCGGACCTCCGACCTGCCATTTTCCGGGTAGACGATCTTCCTGCAACACCGCGGGGATGGTTCGATCAATGTATGGGATATGGGAAAGCAATTCACATTTACACTTACTGATTAAATAATCCGCAGAGCTGTCGGGACGACTTCAGATCAAATCATATTCAAGGGGACTCACTATCATGGTAATGTCTTCTGCCATACTTCCTAGTCTATTGACAGTGTAATTTGTATATTATGTACCCAGCTAATGGACCAGACGAAAAGCACTCTAACCTTCAGGTGAAACTGAAAATGTCACATATTGAAGAATGTGTTCATACTCAGAAAAAGCGTATTTACATGTATAAATCGATAAATTAATAATATAAATTGTGTAACATGTAATTGTATCTAAACTGTGACGCACTTTTCTCCAATAATGTGATTTTATGTAAATGGAGACATCTTATTCTGATTATCTGAACCATTTTATGTATATGTGAGCGATTTATTCAGTTAGAGGTGAAAATAACATATCATTAAGAACCTGGGCTGTGTGTTGCATGTGAACGATATCCTGTGAGAGTATATATACAGTTTCGGCAATTTCCGGTACTTTTCTCAAATACTAAAGATGGACTAGGCAAAGCAGACTTCATGAGAAGCAACACTCGGCTAAAAGCTCCGATAATGCTGTATTATTATTCAATCATGAACCTATGATAAACATATTTTCATATTCCACATGAATCTTTCATCTGCAAAACAGATATTCATAAAAAATGTTAAGACTTCTTTTTTTTAAATTTCAAAGTTGTTATAGTCCGAAAGTCCGTGTTACAGGTCTGAGGGTCACCTTCAGGGTGACTCCCATTTCTAAGGTATGAAATCTTACTGGTAGACATTCTGACATTTTCTATAATAAAAAGAAGAACAAGAAACCCATCACACTCACATTCGTACTGTTGCGAGTTTAAAATAAACAGTTAGCTTTTACTATGTGTCTGCTTTTAACTTATACTTAGGCTAGACTAGCTGAAAAGTGGATGATAGAATGCCCACTTTGTGTAAACGTTAGTTTATTTCTGCTTGAGAAACTCATTTTTTCAACAGAATACCTCTGTTCACACACTTTCTTAAAACCATCAAAGTTATGTTTAGCAGCTTTAACAGTTATCAACCTTGGAAAGCGAAAGTTGTCAATAGTTGCTGCAGTTGCAACTATTCCATTCTATCCTTCTCTTTCTTCCCATGAAAATTGTACAGAGTTTGATTGATGAAAGCGCCAATACGTTACATAAGTATTGCCGTGTTGTTTTGTTATAAAATTATATCTGATACATACCCTTTAGGTTATTCAACTTGATGATAAAACGAACAATTATGACTGTCATATCCATCTTCATCTTCTCTTCAGTGTGTCATGAGTACTTTGTATGAATTCGAAATTTACAAATCGCAATTTCACCAGCGTGTTTATGAGAATAAATTCAATAAATCGTATTAATATAGCGCTGTCTTTGTCTTCGTTCAACGCAAGTGTAGTCATTCTGTAGTAGTAATTTTGATGCATTCTCAGTTTTACGCTGCGCATCGCCTATACTGTGTGTAGAGAGTGTCTGTGAGTGTTTTCATCCTACGGGGAATAATTTGATCTGAGGATGAAATCACTCCAAAGTCACCTGATCCGCCTGTAATGGGCGACTAATGTGATTATAAATGACTCCCAGAAGGATTTGATACTACAAATGTAATGTATGACATTTGGAAGCGCTACAATGTTCACGTCGACATTGAAACAAAATCAAACAGAGTATCGGTGTTATTCAGACCATGACGTTTCCTCTAGGCGAGCTGTGATGCTGTGTCTCATGACGCCTTTATAAGAAAGACAAAACAACCGTTACTCCAGAAATCACTATACTTTCACTTTACCCCAAGTAATAACACATTTACTGGTTCATCCTTCACGAAGAATATAATGGATCGGCAACAATGTTAGAAAATTCCATTTTGTTTCAAACAAAATAATTATGAGAAAGTTATTAAAAAGAAAATTACGGGATATTTTATCACTCCTCACTCCGATAATGTATGTGATAAAGGTTTGCCATATTATGCTGCTACAAAATAAGTTCTCAGCAGCCTGTGCTGACCGCCATTGGACAAGACGAAATAATGGCTCAGTTGGTCAGACTCCATGACCTGCTTAATAACGGCATCGGTCGTTGTTCTCAATATCGATCACGGGATTGTCTGGTACAGATTCGATTACGTAAATGCCGTCGTCGCGTAGTTCAAATATTGCTGGGAACGGCGTTAAACTTCAGAAAACAAGACATACATACTTCCGTTTTTTCGGATTATCAAATGACAAAATTAAAATGAAAAGTCTTTCTCGATGTTACTGTACTTCGTGTATTACTGCCCGGATTTAATCACGCGATTCTGTCCCAATTAGGTAATAATTAACAAATTTCTTGCAAGCAAAAATTCATAAAATCTGGTTAGTGTACTAACGAAGGATAACTACATATTACTGTACGAGAATCTGTATGGAAACTCTTACTCGCGAACTAGAAGAAGTTGTTATTCATAAAGTTTGTCAGCACTTCCCAACTTCTAAAGTAACCTGTGAAGGTCCGGGTGGTAAGGCTCGCTGACTTGGTTGACACATGTTATCGGTTCCCAATTGCGCAGATCGATGCTCATGCTGTTGATGACTGGATTGTCTGGTCCAGACTCGATTATTTACAGACCGCCGCCATTTAGCTGGAATATTGCTGAGTGCGGCGTAAAACTAAACTCGCTCACTCCATTAACTGTCAAACCATAACCTTTCTATCTGTGTAGTGCCACCTTTGACATTCCTGGCATCTACTAGCAGCATGCTGAGAGGGACCTTACAGTTCTAGTGACTATTCAATGAAGGCACTTGTTTCGCGTTTTACTTCATGTGTCTGTTTGACTGTTATATAATTAAAGTGGCGTTTAATCAAACTAATAATAGGGCCCGTAAGTAGGTCACGGCACTTCGCGAGACCTTAGTACTTCCGGTGACAAACAACGTTTCATACCTTTTCGAATGGTCTCATGGTTGTCAGGTGACAGGAAGGAACCGATAATTCTTGCGGGAATAACTTATTTCCGTTCTAACCAAACAAATTAGTCAACTATTACGACTGTCGACAGCCAAGTATGGGTTGTACACTTGGTCCGGTCTAGTAAAGTCATATTTGGCGGTCGCGCAATTTGGAACCAGAACTGATTCTTGATTATACGCTTGTCAGCTGGGAGTAAGCTGGGCCCCGTCTAGCATATACCAAGTTGGCGCGCGCAAAGGGAGCCGGGAACTAACGTAGTACTGGAAGTAGCGCCTCGCGAGACTAACAGACCTATATATTCTCTGCATCTCCTACTGTAGTCTGAAGTTCTTTTTCTTTTTTGATGGATCGGGTGGTCAGGCTCGCTGACTTGGTTGACACATGTCATCGATGCTCATGCGGTTGATCACTGGATTGTCTGGTCCAGACTTGATTATTTACAGACCGCCGCCATATAGCTGGAATATTGCTGAGTGCGGCGTAAAACTAACTCATGTTAGTTGGAGAAGGAAACGGAATTATATACACTTCTGATAAAAGATTTAATCTTATTAAGATAAACAGTAAATGCTTGCATCTACCCAATCTTAATGTGTTCACAGTAGACAGCTCTCATTACTAATGTAACCTCCACAGAGTGACCCCCGTCCACCCATCAGTGGCCTCTCCCACTCAAACAAGTTCGCCCACTCTTGTTTCACGCCCCAGTTACCTCATTAATTATGTTATGTGGGTCGATCTAAATTAGGTTAAGTGGGGGGTTTTCACGTGTGAAGTATAGGCTAGGTGGGCTGTAACCAAATGATTACGTCCTAATTCTTATTGCCAGATATTTTTCCGATATCGTAGTCATGTGTAATAGTAGAAGAAGAATACTATGTTATTATTGTGCCACATGCTAATACACGGTACATAATGACACGATTAAAACATTTGGCCTATGAGACACATATAGCACGGTAAAACATTTAAGATAGATAAATAATGAATACTACGCATACATCACGAAAGCAACATTATACCGATCCTTGCACACATCCATTCATGCATGCGTCAACCCCCCCCCACACACTCACCCATCTACCCGCGCACCAACCCACCTTCCCACCCGCGCACCCACCCACACTCACAACCACCCACCCAGTCCCCCACCCCCCACCCCGTACTATGAGATACATAGTCTCCCATGCAGCTTGTGTTAAGGGTTAACACCCTTTGTTTTCACACCCGGTTTATTTTCATGGCCTCTTTCATGTCCGTAACATATTGAGAGCGGAAGGTCGCGGGTTCGATCCCCGACCGCGTCATACCAAAAGACGTTAAAGTATGGTACTTGTTGGTCCCTGCCTGGCGCTCGACATTAATGGGTACAACAAGGACTGGTCGGCTCGGAGTCAGTATCATGTGTCTGAGTGGGGTATTCATGCTTCACTGCGGCATGGTATCTGAGTGGGCTAGCACTGTAAAACCAGCTTCAGTCTGGGCTAGTACAAGCAGCCGCACATACACATACACACGCATGCACGTCGTCATATGAGCGAAATATTCTCAAGCACGACGTTAAACCCAATTTCACCTCACCTCACCGTAACATATTATTCCATTTCCGCGCAGAACTTGTTCTGCAATACCCGGAACTCTTGAATGATTTGGTCCCGGGGCGTCATACACTAATCAACGTCTACTCCATTTTGTCATATTCTTTTTGTGACTGTGACATTTAAACTGAAGTACAAAAGAAAGTACACACCCGGTGCTTTTGGATTACTTTCCAAAACGCGACGTAAATGTTTTGAGAAGAGTTTTTATATTCAGTGATATATAAGTCACAGACTTTCCTAATATGTTGCCAAAACACCACAGATATCGTGCAAAGTTGCCAGTCAAAATCACAACACTTTTCAAATAATCCCAAAACACCAGGCGTGTACTTTCTTTCGTACTTCAGTTTAGTAATGTCTTATATTTTCAGCCAATGGTATTGAGTGTTACAAATGTGAGTCAACAGTCGGTGGCAGCGACTGTGACGCCCTGTACAACGTGACCGCCGACACACGAGAGCAAGAATTCGGTAGGAACTGCACCGGCGTGGGAGACTTCTGTGTCATTGAAACTTTCACTCAACATAAAAGTAAGTTTCTTTCAGTAGATGCAAAACTCCGTGAGTGAGATGGATCTGAATGATCTTTTAAGCTTTATAATTGTAGCATAGCGTGTCTGTTTATGTCTGTCAAATCCAAAAATGACGCAATTTACGATAACACTAAGTGTACTGTGGTCAGTAATTTAGTTATTTTGCGGCGAAGCAGCTTGACGTGGGAGGAAATCCCGGAGTAATTTTTTAGTCGTTTAACATTTTTGTCAAACAAACAAGAACGGACATAATGCTATCAAATCTAGAAATATATTCAGGTTGAACCGGGATTCAGAACAGTAACAGATTCCTTACACGACAAAGGGACGCAACTCTGGACAGTGAATACAGAGGCCAAAAACTGATCTGCAGATTGACAAGTTTCGTTTGCAGATAACATAAGGGGCGTTGCGGTAGCCTAGTGGTTAAAGCGTTCGCTCGTCACGTGGAAGACCCGGGTTCGATTCCCCACATGGTTACTATGTGTGAAGACCATTGCTGGTGTCCCCTGCAGTTATAATGCTGGAGTATTGCTAAAAGCGGCGTAAAACTAAACGCTCTCACTCAATACAATTAGTCTCAAACGTACATTTCACCTGTATAGCAATCTGTCAAAATATCAGTAAGACATATGCATGACTTTGTGTGTATGTGTGTACATATGTATGTATATATTCTTCTTGCAGCTGATATGTACAGCGTGATACGGGACTGCAGCGATAACACCACCTATTCCTTCAACATCTCCTTCCCTCTCAACCTTCACCTTCCACCAAAGCCAAAGGACGTTGCAGAGAATCGAACCAAGTGTGGGCTTGACAACATATTTCAAGTGTGTGTCCTCCTCTGCAATACCAGCTACTGTAACGGTCCCTCGCGGCCAGTATCACGGGGGAGTGGGTTGGTGGCCGAAATGTTCCTGGTTTGGGGGACAATTTTGGTACTTAAGGAACATTTTCTTTAAATGTACCCGGACGACTGCATTCAGTTGAACAGTACCATTCCAACAGGAGACGCCTGATTTTGTGGTCCTCATATATACAGCGCCGGACAAGGCTACATTTGAAGGTTGAATTTGGCCAGAAAATCACAAACAATTTCAGAACGTTACTTTAATGAAGACAGTCACCGAATCATTGCAAACTCAAGGTTCAAACACGGCGACGATACGTGTATAAAATTCATTACCATCTTATAACTAGTTTTTTTCAGCCAGGCAGTTCAGTATTTTATGTTCTTCGACAAAATTCTTTATACCTTAAAGGCACAATGTCACACATTTTCGACAATATTTGGTCTATATTATAATTATATACTGGGGCATATGCGCTCACTTTACCTTCCTATTGATGCAATAAAAAATCCCTTATTGGTTCCTTACGACTTGCCGGAAATCGATAATTGAAACTTCGAGGCGAACAGCTTCCAAACAGAGAACACTTGCCACATATGGAATGTAAACAATTGCTCCGTACATCGAAAACTATTCGCACGCGGTGTTGTCGGTGTTTGCCGACTGGTTTCAATCACAAGTTGTGCCTAGGATAGTCGTAAAAAGCGCACCAAGGGACATAACGCATAACTCTTCGCTTGAAATAATTGTTCGTCCGGTAGAGGGCGCGAGAGTCGAAATCCAAAAACATTGCATTAATTCATTCCTTTTCAATTAACTATTGTAATCTAAATACATGATGCTTTTTTGGAATAAATTCTATGGTCGCTTCCTGAGGGCTGATAGTTAGTATTATTGAGAGAATTGCATTATTTATTTTAAGAGAAGTGTGGGAGTGAAATAATAACCGCCAAGCGAGTGGTTCGCTGTGATAACCACCTTGAGGGAACCGAGACGTGGTTATCGAAGCGAATCACGAGTTATTTCGCATATACCACAAGGTCAAAAACATTCTTATTCTAGTTGAAATATTATTAACTGCAATGTGCAGATATTATAATAAAATATAAACAATGAATGGTTTTGTATTTATTCATTGAAGATGTTTCCAATAAAAACATTGAGGTAGAGGCATCGGGCTGTCAACCCCGATCTGCCAAGGGAAATGTTTTTCTCGAGGTGCGATACCGGGAACAAGGTGAGGCGAAGCCGAGTGTTGTTTCCGGTATCGCACCGAGAGTTGGTCAGATAACACACACGCACACGTTCAGGTGCAACGCAGCACAGCCAGGTGAGATGACCCTAGCTGGTCAGGCGCTGTTCCATCAGCCGTTTGTCATCCCCCGGTGTGAAGCGTGAAAATAGCACAATATTACATGATGGTTTCTTACTAAACAACTTTTTCCGTGATCGATAAAAAACCCGTCCGATTTCAGATCCTGTTGGGTACAGAGGTTTCAGGACCATATAACTTGCTTATGTTTTTGTGCACTTATCCCAATTTCGAGTTATTTAATCATTTGTCGTTCTCATTTGAACCCAAACGGACTATAAGTGTGCGAAATACATTCCTGCACCAGAATCTCGTGCAAGTCGAGCTCAAAACAATCACGTGCAATGTAAAACCACGTGATTTAAACTGCCATTACAGCAAATGAATTGCGACAAGGAGATGCTCTTGACTTCTCAGCGAGCCGCGACGACTCTGTTCCAGGCCGGAGTGGATTTTGAAGCAAATTGGTCATCTGGTATCGTGCCCTACATAGCATTTGTCTATATCTGTATTTGTACTCAGAAAAGCTATACTCATTACCGCCTATCTAGCGGTTCCTTTTTAAAAAATATTAGGATATTGGTAGTCATATTAAGCAAGTTAAATTCACACATAATGAAGTAATCTAAATTAAATTGAATTGCTTGTTATGTATTGATGTGTCTTATATGTAGATGACTATCTCGTACCACTGTCATACTGTTCTGATTAACGCTGAGGGACCCTTCATAATTTATGGGTATATGTGGGTGTGTGTGGGTGTGAGGGTGGGGGTTATGGGGATGCATGTAAAATGTGAATGCTCCCCCCCCCTAAACTATACTAGCCACATAAAGAAACTGTGCATTGTCAAAATATTTTATCCCAGTTGATAAGTACGATAACAATGTCAAAGGTACATATAAACTTTAATGGAAGGATCATGAGACCATAACAAGTCTGGAGAATTTCAATTGAAAAGTCAATCACAATGACGTCACGAGTCCACAAGTGGGACAGGGGTCAAACGACCATGTCACAAGCTTAATAACGGGTATGTCCACCATCGGCATTGAGAACAGCAGTGCATCGACGACGCATAGAGCCTATCAAACGTGCAAGGAAGGCTTGTGGGGTGTCACGCCAGATTCTCTCAAGTTCTGTTGCAAGGTCAAGGACGTTATCTGGAGGATGAGGAAGACGGCGTAGACGTCGATCCATCTCGTCCCAAACATGCTCTACCGGGGAGAGATCCGGTGAATTTGCAGGCCAAGGCAGTAAGTCAACGTTGTGGTGTTGCAAGAAGTCCATAGCAACCCTTGCCGTATGAGGGCGGGCATTGTCCTGTTGGAATGTTAACCCAGGGCCATGACGTTGCAGAAAAGGAATTGCCACAGGTCGAACAATGTGATCCCTGTAGCCCACACCAGTTAAGTTGCCCTGAACATTCACCAAAGGAGTTCTTTGGCGTGCCGTTATTCCACCCCAAATCATCACGGAAACACCACCGAAACGATTCCTCTCCAAGACACAGGCCTGCTCATAACGTTCTCCCACGCGTCTATAGGCACTCATCTGTAAAAACATTTTTCCACCAAAACAAGGGTCTGCGGACATGATTTCGGCACCACATTCGGCGAGCTTGTCGATGACGTTGTGTCAGGATAGGCCGTATGGCGGGACGTCGTGGTCTGATCCCGTGATGACGTAAACGTTGTCGAACTGTGTTGGGTGGATACGGCGAAGTCCTGGGATGGTCCGGGCAGTCATCACTGCAGTCTGAAACCTGTGGCGAAGATGGGTCACCCTTATCCATATGTCCTGTCTTGGCGTTGTTACACGTGGACGTCCAGAACGTGGCCGACCGATGACGTCATTTGTGTTCTGGTAGCGTCTCACCAGTGCAGAAATGGTGTTCCGGTGGCAGTGGAAATGTGCAGCCACTTGTCGTTGAGACATTCCCCCACGGACAATCCCAATGGCTTCATGACGTTGTGCAGACGTGAGCCTTGGCATGCTATGTGTTTCAATAGCCGTTTAATTTTCTTAACATCGCAAGGGCAGGGGCTGAGTTTTCCAAAGTGACAGTATTGTGTGGCATTCATTTGCTCTGTTTCGCTTTCCCGGAATGCACGTGCAACAACGTATTGCACGTCTCAAGGACGAACCCAATGACGTCACGGAACGTGACACGTGCATGCATGTTGGATACATGTCACTAATCTCTGAGTTTAAATCCTTATGTGTCTACACAGGTTTGATAAATTTAGATTTTAAATTTTTGTATGCACAGTTTCTTTATGTGCCTAGTATATATGGGAAAGATTTCCTCCCGTAACCCCCGTATTCTTTTTTTTAATCATTCTATGCCTACAAATATAGTCCTATGTTTTTTTATGAAAAGAGGGCGCTGGGGTAGCCTAATGGTTAAAGCGTTGGCTCGTCACGCCGAAGACCCGGTCCGAGTCCCCATATGGGTACAATGTGTGAAGCCCATTTCTGGTTTCCCCCGCCGTGATGTTGCTGGAATATTGCTAAAAGCAGCGTAAAACCAAACTAAGTCAGTCAGTTTTATGAAAAGAAACCTTACCCTGAACCCTAAACCTAATCCTAAACCCTAATCCTAATCCTAAACCCTACCCAGTCGAACTATTCCTAATAGAATACATTTCAAGCGTGGGTTACGGGTTAAAAAGATAACACTTTATATATATATATAGTGGCCCTCATCACCACCCACACAACCCCACACAACCCCACCCCACCCCACCCCACCCCCCCGCCTGCTTGTCATGTACAAAATTGCTGACCACGCCCACCCACCCCAACCCGTAGTGCATGTGTACAAAATGATCGCACACGCACACGCACGCACACACACACACACACAAACAAACCTCCCCAGAACAAAACAGGTGACCCCCACCCTCCCTTAAATCTTCATCACCCCATCCCCTAATTTGGGAATCTATCTGATTGTTCAATAGTACCATTGATTTTATACAACTGTTGCAGGTGTACGGGTGTACAAGAGAGTAGATGAGGAACAAATGAAGATGGTCAGCAGCATTCTCACCAGCAAGAAGCCCAGAACCGAGGAAGTACGATGCAAAGAGGAACACAAGGCTTCAACTCCAGAAGGTATGTTTTCTTTCTCCCAGTGGAAACGTAATCTTAGTGGAAAATTTAAAACGTTCTCATTACTGACTCATCTAATGAAATTTAACGTTATTGGTCAGGGGAAAATGCACTGCTCATAGGCAAGTGGCCCACCGACCGAACTCTCATTCCATTGGTCAAGAGTTTGTACTAACCCCAAGTGCATTGGTATTTGAGATTTTCATGAAAACTATACTTGATATTGATGAATGTAATTTGTTGGTAAACGTCATATTCACGTTCTAGGAATGTATCATCAAATTAATCATTGTTGTAACTCAAATTATTCATTACAAAACTATCTATGAGGATCTTGTCTAAACATCTATTTCATTTTTCAGATGATTCAAGTGACCCTGAGGAGAATGGAAAAGGAAGAAGGAGGTGCCGCCGGTTCCAATTTATTAACTGCAGTGTGCAGAAATTGTAAAAAATAAATCATTTTGAATGGTTCTGTATTTGTTTATTTATTGAAGATGTTTCCAACAAAAACATTGAGGTAGAGGCATAGGGTTGTCAGACCCGATCCGCCAAGGGAAAAGTTCTTCTCGAGGTGCGATACCGGGAATAAGGTGAGGCGAAGCCGAGTGTTGTTCCCGGTATCGCACCGAGAGTTGGTCAGATAACCGCTGGGGAAGGTTGGTTATCTGATAACCAACCCCTTGAGAGGTCGTTCACAAAAATTAATAACCCCAGATATTGACCCGATAATCAACCCACGTCGTATGTTATGAAATAATGCCTTTAGGCTGGCGCTTAGTTTTGCTTTGAATAAATACATGGGTCTCTAAACTATTTCTGTTACTAACGTTATAAGGGTACAGATAATGTTGTAACATATATTGATATGCCTGTCATGTACCGTACAACAAAAAGACAGCAAGGTGATTTATTGTTCCATTTCAATGAGATGTAAATTTTATCATTGTCCTTTCGCACGTTACCGTGTATACCCTGGTACGATCGTTCAGAACGTCGATTTAAACTGTGCAGAATTGCGTCACTTTGACGTTCCGGATCCTGTGATGCTGGTCTCGAATGCCAGATCAGCATTCATTAAGAATCTTTGTATGTCAGAGGTTTCACAAGTTATAGATAGGTTTTGTGTAAGTAAAACATTAAAAAGAACAAGTTAAATTTTATATGTGTTTCCAATGACCAGTAGCGTTTAGTCTTTTTACAGTCCGCAGATGGGGGACATGACGCTGTTTTCATATTTGCATTTTTATCGTTTTCAGGCACTTTTTTTCCAAAACCATATGCAACACCTACTATCAGATACATGTACATTACCCATTATCTAACATTTTTCCAAAATACGCCCATCTTCATAATTACATGCCTCACAAACCAGTTGGTTGTATTTATTTTCCTTTATCTGAAAGATAATTGTATCCACGGTGAGAGATACACAAATAATTTTCTACATGTAACTTATTTGTTTAATTTCTACGTTTGTAAAATGCTATTCTGAAAATCTTCATACTACCATTGTTTAAATTTCTTCACATTACAAAATACTCATCGCATATCCATGTATATGCATATCAAGAGCTTGAAAAGCAAACATCTAAGTTTGATGATCTTAGCTTTGTTGAGGGATAGTGTCTCAGGAATATTTATCTAATTAACTTTTTCTCATTATTTACAGAACATATTAGAATATTCGTTAGCTTTATTATTGCCGATTGTTTTGCTGGTGCTGTACGCAAGTTCTTTAAAGCAGAATAGTCCTCTGATCATAACTGTGTCAAAGTATGTATCATCTGGGAGAGTTCAATGATTCCTGTTTCGAGACCGACTACCTCTTCCTTCGAAATAAACCAGGAAACGTTGAATTCCTGAGTTCTGTGGCCTCTCTGCACATGCATTCTTCTCTTCGGCCTACTTTACCAGAACGTTTATCGACAAATTGTTATTTACTAGCCCAGTAATGGTGCTGAAAATCATTTGCGGTTTTTTTATAGATCACATGCGTCATTCAGTATTACGCACTGCAGCAGATGAATTGACCATTATTGTGGGCGACGGTCAGACCTTACAATAGGGGGAGACTGGATGTATTTAATAGGAACTTCTCACACCTGACGAATAAAAACGGTTTGATCGTGCTTAATAGCCTTGCTCCAAGGCTGTACTGAATGCTGAGCCCATGGATGTAAAGTAATTCTATCCTTTAAAGATGCGAGTCTAGATAAGCGGACACTGAGGACCCCAGTCTGTTATTTATTATTATTTAGAAATTATCATATAAACTATTAACTTTTACCAAAGAGACTTGTGCAAGTATAGGTGCTTAGATAGTGTATAAAAATCAGGTATTCAGATAAGAAATCAGGTATGTGGAACACATGTTATATTTGGGATTTCGCTTTCTCAGTAAAGCGAATGAGTGAGTTTAGTTTTACTCCGCACTCAGCAATATGCCAGCTATATGGAGGCGGTCTGTTAATAATCGAGTCTGGACCAGACAATCCAGTGATCAACAGCATGAGCATCGATCTGCTCAGTTGGGAACCGATGACATATGTCAACCAAGTCAGCGAGCCTGGCCATCCGATCCCGTTAGTCACTTTTACGACAGGCATGGGTTACTGAAGGTACATTCTAACCCGAACCTTCACGGGTTCTCAGTAAAGTTCATAGTCAAGTTTCATCCGACCACTTTCTAAATGGCATTGTGTATCCTGGTATGTTGAACATGCCAGGTGAAAAAACTTAGAGGTCCGTTAACCATACAACCCCACTCCCCTCAAGTCTAACCCTTACCCATCACCACACACACACACACGCACGCACACACCCGACACACACTCTACCCTCTACCCTCTACCCCCTCCGTGAAAAAGAAACGAAGACGCAAGGCACAAAAACCCAATAAATAAATAGAAACTGAAAAAATTCAGATTTTTCAAAGACACAGTACCAGGCGTATTCCTTCTTTGTTTCTCCGACATCCAACGTACACCGGCGTTAATTAATTCATCCCTATTTCATCCTTGCAAACGTGACACCGAAAATAATTAGTTTGAAATGTAACCCTGATCTCTTTGTTTTATATTGCACCATTTCTTAATTGCACTATTTCTTGAGGGCACTGCCATAGTGGGTATCTATGGCATCATTAATGTACCATAATATCATTTGACGCGAATGACGCTAGACCTGACACTACATCTTCAAAATAAAACTCTATTGGCACGGAACTTAATTGATGTATACTATACTGACAAACAGTCTTATTTCTAACCCATTAACGATTTCTGTCATCAATCGAATCTTGGTAGATTAGTGTTCGCGAAATGCTTATTGGACAATTGATAGACCGCGTGGGCAAGGCGAGTGAGTGTTTTTGTCAAAGAACAAAGGTGACGGAAAATCCATTTTATTAATGTAGTCTGTACAATGGACCGTACAAGTGATGGATGCAGTTGCACCAAAGCTCATCCAAGGTCTTCATGAAACACGTGATCATCTTTGCTGGAACAAAATAAGCGGTGATTTTACTGTTGAATTGTATCGTGTGCGAGTGACTTGAGTTGTACGCCTTTACAACCAACCAGCCAACACCCCACCCCATCCCACCCCACCCCACCCACCCTCTACAACAAACGCCCTTTTTTTCAATATTCCAGCTATATCACGGCGGTGGACTACAGAAATTGGTTTCTCAAATTGCATCCGTGAGGGGAATCGAACCCGGGCCTTCTGACAAGCGAACACTTTAACCAGTAGGATACCCCACCGCTTTTACTAAACACTTAACATAACTCCTGTGTGGATTTTGTTTAGGAGGCGTGAGATGCGACTAACGGGATCGGGTGGTCAGGCTCGTGTCGGTCGTATCCCAACTGCCTTAGATCGATGCTCATGTCGTTGGTCACTGGATTGTCTGGTCCAGACTCGACTATTTACATACCGCCGCCATATAGCTGGAATATTGCTGAGTATGGTGTAAAACAGACAAACTTTGTTAACGAGTGTATCATTACTGGACTGTCATGCCATACAATAGACTGTCGCCCAGTCTATATCAGGCTTCCTCCTGTACAGCCCTTTCTGTAAAATACAATACAGAAGCGTGAACGAAGCAAGTCTAGATTCACCCAGGTCCACATCACTCGGGTTGCTTTTCAATATAAACGGAGATTTTTTTGGTCTCTGTCAGAGTTATTTATTTTCATAGACTAAACCTGTCTAGTCATACAGTAGCACGGTCAATACGTTTCAGCAAGCCGTTTTGTCGTGTGCTGTCAAAGATGTTCACATGAACACCAAGGCTACAAGAACTGAATCGATTGCTCACATATTCAGATCAAGGACGGTCACTGATCTGCATTAAGATTATTTTTTCTAAACGATGTATACGTATATCTCTGTCATGCCCCAGCGCCAAATTTTAACGTTACTGAAAAGGCTTCGGGCAAGTAGGGGGACGGCTGAAAACTACTCCTCTAAACTATCAAGAATGCATAGCGAATGAATGAGCTACGATTACACGTGCAACTCTAAAACTGTAATAAAAACTTTGCAATAATATTCCATTTATGTCACAGAGTGTCTGCTTATTATAGGAGGAAGGTGAATAGTGATGCAGGTCTTAGACATATACCTGTTTGGGACCCGTGAAGATCCGGGTTAAAATTGATCTTCAGTAACCCATGCTTGGATGGCCCTGTCGTCAAAATCCCTGTGCAGACTTGTGTCCCTTGGGCACGCATGAAGCCCATGATTGTGGGTTCGCCTCGATTATGTGCCTATGTTTGTCTGCGTAGTACCACTGTGCTCGCTGGTTACACCAAACAGGTATTGATTGGTTGGTTGGTTGGTTGGTTTACTACTTGGAAATATCAAAATCTTACGAAGTTAGGGACTCACTCTCAGCCGGGATCTACTATCTATCGGGGAAATGGTAGTTGATGACGACCAACTTCCGGTTGAGCATAGACAGGGCTTACCCCCTGTGAAATGCGGTAATGCCAATACAGTGGGTATTGTCTTGGGCGGCTTGACAACTGGGCATGACAAATGATTCTGTAGTCGGCAGTCCGAAGCAGAAACAAGTCAGGTTCAGCGTGCTTTCTAAAATTATTCGTCACTTTGAAGCAGGCTAATTTTCTTGTGCGAATTGTATCCATGGATGGTTGGTTCTTAGGTTGACCAATGTCAAACAGAGATCTAGCAACAGCCAGTGCATTGGGGCCATTTAATGTCTACTCCTCCTCCGAAGAAGACATAAATGTTCCATCACATGGCTTCAGATTCTGATATTCAATTGGAATCCGAGTGATTTGTTGTACAAAAGTCTGAAGAATAAAAGCAAACACCAAGCGGGATTCGAACTCTCACTCTCAGAATTAGGATCGCCAGCTCACAAAGTCAGCGACCGAACCTACTTAGCTTCCAAGGAAAAATATTGAAGTCGGACAACTGGTAGTCCAGGTCACGTA